AGTATGGGATCCATAGTGTCACTGCAGAGGGTCACTGGTATGTGAGCCGGGTGTACAGAAAGATGTGGGAGGATGGTGATAGGCAAACTGCTTTTGAAATTCTGCCAGTTCCTGAGTCTGTAGGAAACGTCCACGAGGAAAGGAAACTGTTCTCTTCCATAGGAGATGGCTTTTTCTGAGAACTAAGGCTTCTGCTGTCATTCCCTGAGTTCCCTTTCATTGGGTCCTAATTAGGCTTGTGGAACTTGTTTGGGAACCTGGCCACAGTCTCCTATTTGCATTGTTTCTGTGAGAAAATGTATTCTGAGTTCCATAAGAATCATACATACAGTAACATTTGCTGCTTTTACATAGGCAGTATCTGTTCCCCCCTGTTGAGTAACAGTACCCTGATTTTCTGATGGAGAATTACCCTACAGTCTCTGGTTGGTTGACACTCACTCCTACCTCCATTGTTGAGCCTGTGATCCATGTCTGGCTGGTCAGCATATACCATTCCCCAGACCATGTTGTTAAGAGTTGTGATCTAAGATAGGCAAATGCAGTTCTGGGAGTCGCTTGAAACTAATGGAAAGGGGGCTGTCTCCTTCCCTGTGTACATCTGGACTTGGTTGCTATCAAGGAGGAAGAACCTTCCTGAATGGAGCCAACATAAAGAACAGCAGAACCAAGAAATGGAGAGAGGCTAAGTTTTGCTAACTTCTCAGGAACCCTTGGATGTAGCTGTACCTGAAGACCTCACTTAGGTGTGAGCCAATAAATTCTCTTTTTTATTTTTAAACTTAAATCAGTTTGAGTTGAGTTTCTGTCACTTGCTATCAAAAGAATCCTAATATATCCCCTTTGGGACACAAGTCATTTGTAAAGTTGATTGCCCAGGGTACATTTTTGCTGCATGTGTGCCTCATGATAAGAATTGCTTGACTAATTGATTCACTCCTTAGAATGGTCAAAGGGACAGAACTTGAAACTATGAAATTGCTCTTCAGTGACATTCACTCTACCTCTCCTCTCATTGGATCTGGACTACTGACAACAGCTGCTTCAACAACTGCTAGGTGCTCAGTCAGTGCACTCTGCACTTCAAATGGTCCAATCAGTACCTAGAAGAGGAAAAGAACCTTTTGATCACTACAACCCCCAAATAGGAGATCTCACCTGGCAAAGTGTTACTTTCTTAAAGTGGAAAATGTACAAACCAAGAGGACATGATGACATCATCAGCTCTGCCAACAAACCAGAAATACCTGTCACTGTCCATCTCTCTTCTGTCTCCAGGGACATAGAAATTCCCTCTTATCGTGGCAGCAGTTTTCTCTGGATTGTCCTAGATATCAAGCAACAAGCAAAGGAGCTAGGAGAGGCAAGTCTCAGGAAAGTTCATTCAACGAATATTTGCCGAGCACCTAATACATTTCCAGACATTGTTCTAGGCAAGTGGGGCATGTTAGTGATTAAAACAAGGATTCCTGACAGAGCTTACATTTTAGCAGGCTATTAAAGGGAAAAAAGTAGGAGAAAATGCTAATAATTCTATTAAGCATTTATTTATGCCAGGTGGCATAAGAGCTAATGTTAATCGAGCATTTCCATCCGTTGTTGTAAACGCTTTAGGAGCACTCTCATAATCCTCACAGCCCTTGTTTTACAGATGAGGAAATTGAGTCTGAGAGAAGTTAAAAAACTTGCCCAAGGCCTCAAATAATGAAGGGCGGAGTTGGATGCTTCCTGGTCTCTCACTAAGCCTGCTGCTGACATTGAATTCTCACCACCACCCAATGAGGTGGCTCTTAATCCTTTCTTTTGGGTGGAGTGAAGGAAGGCTTGGCAAGGTCATCTTCACTGTCTGAGGTCACAAGTTAGTCAGTAGCAGAGCCCTGCCTGTTTGACTTGGAGCTTGAACTTTTAACTGCTGGCCTTACTACTCAGCTGCCCCCAGGACTCGGGTGAAGAAGTCTGAAACAGCCCGACTGTGATACAGTGACGTCCCAACTGAGCAGGAGGGTGTGCTAGGACAGAAATGGTGCCTGTTCAGAAAACCTCCGAATAGCCCTTGAATTACTTTGAGGGCCACAAAGGAGCTGACACTGACTAGGATAAGAGAATGTTCCTATCTGCTTTATTCCGTCTCAGCACTCTCCCTCCTGGACATCCCTACCTCCGGGGAACAGGATGGGCGAGGCTGCATCATTTAATTGATTCTCTTTCTTTCTTTTCTCATGTGTTGAATTCATATGAGTTACATAAATATACA